AGTATATTTGATGACAGAAATTTCAGTTTAGGGTGAAGTAGCCCTTTAAATGTCCTTCATGTGCTTGTGTTTGGTGATGTTTGAAGGTTGTGAACCAGTAATGATGTTTATGCAATGAAGAGCAGTAATGATGATTAGAAGAGCCGTAATTAGCCAGCTCCTCTCTCGCACCTTATTTAAAGTCGACATGAAATCAAAACCGTCCTATTTACTAATTTAATGCACCTAACTGGTCTTATTGTGCAGGATTTATCAGAGCATGTCATTCCAAAGGGAAAAAACAGTTGTCTTCAATTAAAATAGCTTAAATTGGATTACCTGACCTGACTTTTTCATTTCATTTGAAATCAGAAGAGGCTGCTGAAGTTTCAACAAACAGTTTCCCTATTTTTCTTGACTCAATAAATTCCCATTGGATAAAAATCAAGCACCTACATCGAAAATTCACACGATGGAAGTAAAATGGGCTGCAAACATCACTTTCCATCATCTTCAAGCATCTTAAAAATAACTTTGACAAAATCACACAAAAGGAAGTGGTCTGGAATGAAAATGCATTGGTTCAATCTTTAAAATGTGTTTGGAGAGTATATTGGTAGTGCTTTCCTCTACCTATTGCCATCTTGAGTTTATTGCATTTTTTTTGGGGAGGCTATTCCCTCTCATTGCAAGAACAAGTGCAGGATATTTGGAAGCTTTTATGGTCTCAATTTTGTCTCTTGCTATTGTTTCGATAATTCCTGGAGTGGCCTATATAGGAGGTCCACAGGATGACAGTCCGCACACTCTGATTTAGGTGGTTATAGAGATGCCATTAAGGAATACACTTTAAAGCGTTGGCCTCACAAGGTTAATAAAGATTGCTGGCAGATTTACTGTGTTGACTGTTACTAAATCACTGATATAACCTAAAAATGAGAAAATAAATAACACATTTCTCAACATCTCATGTATTTCACATAGCTTTTAAAATACAGTGCTCAGCATATACAAGTACACCCCTCACAAATCTCTCTTTTAAATTTATATTTTAATAGGAAGCTATACAATACTATATTTGTGCATATATATTAAATTAGTACTTAAGCCAAATATTGATCTTACGATAATGGTCCAAAAACTAGTACACTCAAATTTATGTTACAGAAAAATCATTCATTCATTTTCTTTTTAGCTTAGTCACTTTATTAATCAGGGCTCGCCACAGTGGAATGAACTGCCAACTCATACAGTATATGTTTTTATGCAACGGATACCCTTATATCTGCAACTCAACACTGGGAAAGTTATAGAAAAATATGAAATACAAATTAAAAAAAAGAGGAAAAATCAAGAGAAGCAAAAAATTGAAAAAACTAGTTGAAATTTTGTAGGATGTAATTTTTTTTTTTGCAATATTTAGCTTAAATTTAATTGTATTATCTTTTAATTTCTAACTATGTTTGGAGACTAAAATGTAATTTAATAAATACTAAATTATCTGTTTAAAAAATCAGTTTTGTTTAAATGCACCAAAATACACTGCCTACATTCTCTGAGAAATGGATAAAATTATTCATTTTCAAAATGGGGTGTACTTAATTATGCTGAGCACTGTATATCATACATTGTTTGTAATTATTTAAATTTCATGGGATAATTTACTCAAAAAACGAATTCTGTCATGATTTGCTCATGCCTTTCAAAGCCTGAATGACCTTCTGCATTCTGTAGATGAAAGGTTATTTGAGTCCTGAATCCTAATCGTGGCTCTAAACAACACTGGACCTCATTGATTTTTATTTTATACCAAAAATCATTAGAATATTATATAAATATCATGTTCCAGGAAGGTATATTGTACAATCTCCTATTGTAGATGAATCAAAACTTTGTTAGAAAGACAACTTTAAAGGTAATTTAATATTGATATTTAGATATTTTTTTTTTTTTTTACGCTGGTGTTCAAACAGTTTGGTGTTCAAACCTCGAACAAATATTATCATATCATAACAAACCATACATCAACTACACACAAACAAAAAAGATTGGTCCTAATTTACTCACCCTCATCCTTACACCATCAATCCTGTTCTTGGAGATCTAAGTTAAGCTGCAACCTTGATCAAACACACCTGTCTGTAATTAACAAATGCGCCTTCAGATTGGACTTATGCTGCAGTCACATTAGAGTTTGTGTGTGCAAAATTCTGTTGTACGCCAATGTGAAAAGGGGTGGGATTAAACAAGATGATGAGACATTAAAAAAGCGAGTAATTGGTCCATATATTACATATCTGTCCAGAGAGGTCATGTTTTGATCTCACACAATCACAATGCAATTTCGCAGGTCAGAGTTCACCATGCTTGAACTTTCCAACGCAATGAACTGCGAAACTTGTTGCACGAGCTTGTGTTTGTGGTCTGCTGCATTCACATCCATATGAATGTAAGTCTATGAAGAGAAAAGTGCAGCGTGACTGCACCTTTAGTTGGTTTAGTTCTGTTTGATCAGGGTTGGAGCTGAAATTGGCAGGAACGCAGATCTCCAGGAAAAGGATTGGGCACCCCTGGGGCTACACCATGGGACTCAAACTCAATTTCTGGAGGCCCGCAGCTCTACACAGTTTTGCTCCAACTCTAATTAAACACAGCTCCAACTAATCAAGATGTTCAAGACTACTAGAAACTATTAAGACTATGAGTTGGAGGTAGTTGGAGTTAAAATCTGCATAGCTGTGGCCCTCTAGGAATCGAGTTTAAGACCACTTACTCTTGCTGTGTCCCAATTAGCATACTATCCATCCTAAATAGTATTTAAAATTAGAATTAGTGTGTCCCAAACCATGGCAAGTTGAAAAGAGTATGCCAAAGGTTCTGGGATGGTTTACTATTTCTGGGAAAAATTTGAAGTGTAGAAGTGTCCATACTCTAACTAATTCCCTTTCCGTAAGAAATCCTTCATTGTAAATTTTTTTTTCTAAAATGTAAATTTGTTTTGTCCTTCGTAAAATCATTTTTCCTGTGTAATTGTGACTTATGATAGGTAAAAATGTTTTTCAAAATGTAAATTTATCTCGAACTGTTTCACACTTTTGAATGTTGTTTTGCACTTCCCGGCCACCATATTAAAGAGATGTCCTCATCATAAGATGTCCTCATCATTTACTCACATTCAAGTGATTCTAAAAGAATGATCTTGAAGAATAAAGCATCCTCAAAACTCAAAGAAACTCTAACAGGTGTTAAACAAATGGAGGGAAAGTAAATAATATCCTTTAATTAAAGAAGGTCAACTATTTTTTTTCCCTGAAATTGTGGTCTCATTCATCATATATATACTGTATATATAATCATTCATACATCTTAGTTATTAATTTAGTCATCCATTTATTTGATTCATTCATTCATTTATTTGATTGCTTTATTTTATATATTCCTTATTATTTGTTCTGCTTTTAGTACTTTTTCCATTGTTTAGTCCTAGACTTACAGTAATGGCGTTTCATGAAATGTTCCTCTCCACTGATGTGAGGATATGTCGCTAATTTAAGGTCTTGTGGACTGATGTATAATCACATTTGTTTTATTTGTGCTGTTCATACAATTTATAAGAGCGCACCGAAAGACTAAGATAGAAAAAGCTACGATTCTTTAATAAACCCTGCTCGTTTATTATCATCACTACATCTCTTGCTTATGTTCTTCTCTGGCTTCCTTCCACAGTCAACTCATATATTGATAGTAGGCTGTGAATTCAGTTGAATACTGATTAACAGGTTTGGGTATTGGAAACTGCTGACCTGTTGTCCAAATACCAAAAGAACCCGAAATTTCCTGACAAGATCTGGCATCAGGGGCTTAATTTTATTTATCTGGCGTGGAGACAGTGATCTAATAATGAAAATGTAAATAATGTACAGTTTCTTGAGCAGACCAGCTATTTTTACCTCATAAGACCCCAATACATCAACAATAGCAATGGATATTAATTTTATTTTGCCAGCATGAGTATTTTTTCACATTTAAGGCATCATTAGATGCTGAGTTGCATCTAATGAATCACCATGTTTTCAGCTTAAAGTTCTCTTTTAAAAAGTCACCTACATCCAGTGCTTTATTTGCAAATGAATAATACCCGGAACAAAACCAGGAAATTAAAGTAACCGTGACCGACGTCCACCAATCAGTTTCAGTTTACCCAGAGCTTGACATCATTAAACGATAATAGCACAAAAAAAGAGCATCACATTTCTGAACGGTCTTTAATTATTTTGTGCCATTTAACATTAAAGGTCAGTCATGGATAATAAAAACATGTAGCTACAAACATAAATCGTATGAACAATCATTATTCAGTTCATTTCACGTTATGTGCCAAAGAAATAATTAAATGACACACAGTCTAATCTTTGAGAAGAGCCCACAGTTACCTCTTCTGTCATGTTTTCTGGCTGACTTGAGATTGCTTTGTTTCTGTCTCCTGCTATCCTGATCCATTCACGCAGTTTCATCTTCTTGAGATCTCTTTTGATCAGGCTCATTATTAGATTTACTCTTAGTTTAAAAAAATTAATACATGCGTGATTGCCTTTTTGCCATTTTGAAAATAAAAATATTATTTAGGTTGGCCACTATGCCATGATTTTTTTTGGCTGCTCACGACACAATCACCAACCGATGAGAGTGATTGTAAATATAAGGAAGCCGATTGGCTATAAATATTGTTGATGGCCATTAATAACGTGACTTTTGCTTTAACTTGCGCATGGTGACTACCATCATATTTGTGACATTTTCCAGAACAGGATACATCAAGATCTGGCTCAAATTAAGCACTGTCTACATCTTGCATGGTCTAAAGATCAGTACATTAACAGCAAATTTACACTGTAACAGAATTTCACTTTAGTCTTGCATTTAAATTCTAGTCTGAAATTCTTATCATCACTCATTAGCAGTATCTGCACATCTGCTACAAAAGTCTGTTGACCGTCCTCAAATCTCAGAGGTGAACTGACCTCAGTGGGCTCCAGGTTTTCTCCATTCTTCATCCACCTGTACGAGGGTTTTGGTTTCCCCGTGGCCTTGCATTCCCACACCAGAGAGTCATCGATGGGCTTCTGCACATCCTGCGGCTTCTCAATTAACTGAGGCGAGGCTGAAACAACCAACAGCAGAGGTAATAATGACTACACAGAATTACTTTAACCTTGATTATGACCTGTTACGTGTCCTTCAAAAGCAGACTAGCAGTACATTCTGGAGCCATGAACTGTGGGGAATGGTGTGATGTAATCACAATAATGACACATAAGAAAACAACATTATTAGTGAAGGCGAAGCAGACGCAGGCCAACTGATTCACATTTCCTCTTAGATGGGTGAACGGGAAGAAAATCACATCTAATATATTGGTATTGTCTAAAAGCTACTGCCATAAAATACATCAACCAGTTCCATTATGGTAAATTATGGCTTAATTATAAACAAGCTCTATTGATCTTTATCTTTTAAATGCATGTAACTCAAACCTAGTAAATTATTGACCAACAATGCATTCAGAGAATCATTTATAGGTGTTTCTTTTCCTGAAAAGAAAGAAAAAAGATGGACAAGAAGAGGTAAAATTATATTAAGCTAACAATTATTCATTCATTACTTCATTTTCTTTTCGGCTCCATTAATCTGGGGTCGCCACAGCGAAATGAACCGCTAACTTATCCAGCATATCTTTTTACGCAGCGGATGCCCTTACACATCCATACACAATCATAAACTACGGACAGTTTAGCTTACCCAATTCACCTATACTGCATGTCTTTGGACTGTGGGGGAAACCGAAGCACCCGGAGGAAACCCACGCGAAAGCAGGGAGAACATGCAAACTCCACACAGATACACCAGCTGACCCGGCCGAGACTAGAACCAGCAACCTTCTTGCTGTGAGGCGACAGCACTACCTACTGCGCCACTGCGCCACCCAAGCTAACAATTAACAATGTAAAAAATGCTTTAATGCATCAATGACTGCCAAATGTTCCAGCAACACTGTTTCTTTAACTATGTTCTTTAACTATGGTCTTTATTAAAATGTTGTAAGCCAAGATATCAATTAAATTTAAGCTTATTTGTATAGCACTTTTCAAAACTGCTCTACAGAAGGCACACATTACAATTAAATTCGGAAAAGTTATGTTTATTAGTTACCATAAATTTATTAGTTACTAATAACAAACCAACAATCTGAGTAAAAATGTGCAATATATTTAAACTTTGATTAAAGTTCATTAAAAATTAAAGCTGACAAAAAGACAATGGTGGCAAAAAAAAAAAAAATGCTTTTAAAACAGATATTTTTAAATCCTTTATTACTTCATGGCTTAAATAATTAAAAATTTAAAATATAGATATAATATTAATAGAAAATATAGCACACCGACACAATAAAACAATACAATAAAAAATAAAAATGCGAAATTTTTTTTTTTTTGGTGTGATTTTTTCACTGTTACTCTGATTGGTGGATTTTTTGCATAGCATCATGGGTAATGCAGTTTTTCTGTACTAACCTCACTATTAAGCTGCTAGTTTTAAATTAGTTTAATTAATGTGAACAGAAGGGTTCAACAAAACGTATCTATTCGGTTAACACCTTCAGCACTGACACAGTAGGTTTGTTTTTCCAGAGGCTTATCATCTAACAGTAAAAAATTATATATTTTTTTTCTGTAACTGATTTTATTTGATAATGCAGCTACTGTGCTTTTACATTCTGAAAACTTCATAAATAATTCATTCTTTTGAGTCTACTTTTTGCAGTGAATCATTTGATTTGGTTCACAGTAATGGAAAAAGGTAAACAAAGATAACAATAAACAATTTTATTCATTCATTAATTTTCCTTTTGGCTTAGTCCCTTTATTAGTCTGGGGTCGCCACAGCGGAATGAACCACCAAATTATCCAGCATAAGTTTTATGCAGCAGATGCCCTTCCAGCCACAACCCAACACTGGGAAACAGCCACACACTCATGCATTCACTCATACACACTCTGGCCAATTTAGCTTATTCAATTCACCTATACCGCATGTCTTTGGACTGTAGGAGAAACCGAAGCACCCAGAGGAAACCCAGATCAACACGGAGAGAACATGCAAACTCCACACAGAACTGCCAACTGACCCAGCCAAGGCTCAAACCAGCTGCCTTCTTTCTGTGTGGCGATCGTGCTACCCACTGCGCCACCATGACGGCCTAATAGATATTTGTAATCATTTATTACTTCATGGCTTAAACTATTTAAAACCAATAGAAACTGTAACGCACCAACATAAAAAAACAAAAAAATCAAATAAAACATAAAAATGGCAAAATTTTATGCTTTCTTTTGTTATGCCTAGTATATCTAACCGATTAACAACTTCACCACTGACACAGTAGGTTATTTCCAAAGGCTTATCACTTATACAATTTTCCATAACTGAATTTTTTTGGTAATACAACTATTGCGCTTAGTTTACATTCTGGAAAATTTATAAATGAATCATTCTTTCGAGTCAAATCTTTGCAGTGAATCATTTGATTCGGTTCACAAAAATGATTCAGTAATGGAAAAAGGTAAACAAAGATAAACAATGAACAACTTGATATTCATTCGTTTTCCTTAGGCCCTTTATTCATCAGGGGTCGCCACAGTGTAATGAATCGCCAACTTATCTAGCATTTGTTTTACCCAGCTGCAACCCAGTACTGGGAAATACTCATACACACTTATCCACACACATACACTACAGGCAAATTAGTTCTTCCATTTTACCTATAGCGTACGTGTTTGGACTGTGAGGGAAACCAGCGCACCGGGAGAAAACCCATGCCAACATGGGTAGAACATGCAAACTCCATACAGAATGCTATTTTCCAGCCGGGACTCGAACCAGTGGCCTTCTTGCTATGAGGTGGCAGTGCTATCAAACAAGCCACTGTTTCATCTATAACTTTCTTCATTTTTATGAATTATCAGAATTTTTGAAGTCTAAAACATCATATGGACACTAACTGTATTGAATCAAGCAACAACAATTCTTTAAATTCCTTGAGCTTAAGAAGAAAGTCAACCAGCTTTGGAACAATGTGATACTGTAACTTTTAATTAAGTCTATTTTTCTGCAAACCGGTCACATTTCCAGCACTGAGGAGCAAAATACAGCTTGGAAGCTTTATTCAGTGGCAGTCAGTCTACAGTATCTGGCAGTCACTGGATGAGTATTGACTTTTAAAGCCCACTGTTTAAATGAGAGTAAGCAGTCAGGGCCTGACTTAGCCTTGCCCACGGGGCACACAATCACGCTCAACACTTCACGCCCACAAGTCAAACTTGAGAGGAACGAGAGGTAGAGAGGTCAAAATGAGCTCTCAGCATCCTTAACTCCAACCGAAAGCTTGTTCAGTAGCATACTGTGATTATGATAGATAGACACTTCCACTAGCCATACTGTAGCAATCGTACTGTATCATGTAAGAAGCATTTTGTGAAACTTAATCCAAACCCTGGCCAAATGCCACACTCAGACCAGTCATTATGTCTCTAGGTTAACGTGTCAATAACTTAAATATTCTAGTTCAAGAAAGTTTTTGGTTATTTTTTTTTTTACTTGACCTTCCATATTCAAGATGTAAAATAAAATAAAATAAAATAAAATTAAATAAAATTAAAATAAAATAAAATAAAATAAAATAAAATAAAATAAAATAAAATGAAATAAAATAAAATAAAAATAAAAATAAAATTAAATTAAATAAAATTAAAACTAATTAAAACTAATTAAATTTAATGTAATTTAATTAAAAATAAATAACATAAAATAAAATTAAATAAAATTAAATTAAATTAAATTAAAATTAAATTAAATTAAATTAAATTAAATTAAATTAAATTAAATTAAATTAAAATAAATAAAATAAAATAAAAAAAAACAGCCATTTAATAATAAATATCGAGAGTCCTTTTACACACAAAACATAATTTAAACCCCCTTTTCATATTTGTGCCTAGATACTAAAACTAAATACTTAATATTCATAAGTGATTGTAAAAGTTCTTTGTGGTTGCTTTCAAAAGTTACACTGTAAAGCTTTTATTTTGCTTTAAAACTGCTTGTTAACAACAGATCTCTAAACCATTCTCATTACAAACTAGGTGAAATGTTTTGCTGTATGTTGTGTTTTTCAAATGCAGAATCACTAAAGCATGCAGCACACCAGACTGCATTTATATAATTGCAAGCTCCTTCTCTAAAATAAAATAAAATAAAATAAAATAAAATAAAATAAAATAAAATAAAATAAAATAAAATAAAATAAAATTAAAATAACAATATTATATAACATATTTTAATTAATAATAATAAAAAAGGATTTGGTGCATTCAGAGACTGGCCAGTGTGATAATGTTAAGCCCTGTGTTCTCCGGTGTGTGTCGATGTACAAAAGCAATACAAAGAACTAATGAAGGCAACAAAAAACATTTGTGGCCAATTGCTAATCAAGCAGAAATAAAGAAAGCAAGGCTTGTAGTATCTCTCCTGCTGCTGGAAGTGATAAACATGAGCTACACTTATTGATCTGCTCGTTTCACTGCTCTGCTGACCAATGTCTCGTAGGCCTAAGTCCACAGGACTTCAAAATAACATTACAGATTTTTATCACCTGGCAAAGGGATGAGAGTGAGATGCAGAGACAAGAATAGTGAGCTCTGAGTGTCTGTCTAATCCTACCACAGAACAACAACAGTGAGTGTTTATTTAAATGCCAGCTGTGACATCGAGATAAATAAAAAGATTTAATAATATACAGTTGAAGTCAGAATTTTTAGCCCCCATTTGAATGTATTTTTCTTTTTTTTCAATTTTTCCCAAATTAGAGTCCTATTTGGTTTGTTTTGCTAGAATAAAAGCAGTTTTAAATTTTTTAAAAACTATTTAAAGGTCAAAATTATTAGCCCCTTTAACCTTTTTTTTTTTTTTTTTACGATAGTCTACAACACAAACCATCATTATACAATAACTTGCCTAATTACCCTAACCTGCCTAGTAGACCTAATTAACCTAGTTAAGCATTTAAATGTCACTTTAAGCTGTATAGAAGTGTGTTGAAAAATATCTAGTAAAATATTATTTACAGTCATCATGGCAAAGATAAAAAAATCAGTTATTAGAAATGGGTAATAAAACTATTATGTCTCTCTGTTAAACTGAAACAGAGGGAAAAAAGGGGTGAGAGGTAATAATACAGTATTCTGACTTAAACTGTATATCTAATATGCTTCTTTTTGGTCTCAAATCACATTGAAAGTCTTAATTTAGTTGATATTTAGTCAATAATAAAAAGTAATAATAATAATAATAATAATAATAAATATAATACATAATAATAACAAATAATAATAATAATAACAATAATAGCAATGAAAAAATATAATAAATATTAAAATAAAATAATAATAATAATAAACATAAAAAATAATAATATAATAACAAATAATAATAGTTAATTAGTTTTTAAACTAATAATAATACTAATAATAATATTATTATTAATAATAATAGTAATAATTATAAATATAATATAATAATAATAATAGCAATAATAAAAATATTATAAATAACAATATAAAAATATAATAATAATATTAATAATAATAAAAATAACAATGATAACAATCATAGTAGCATAAATATAAATATAATACATAACAATATAATAACAAATAATAATAATAATAATAATAATAATAATAATAATAATAATAATAATAATAATAATAATAACAAATAATTTCACAAATAAATTCCCATAAAATGGGTTTCCTTCGGGTGCTCCGGTTTCCCCCACAAGCCCAAAGACATGCGGTATGGTGAATTGGGTATGCTAAAATTTACCGTAGTGTTTGAGTGTGTGTGTGAATGAGTCTGTATGTGTTTCTCAGTGATGGGTTGCAGCTTGAAGGGCATCCGCTGCGTAAAACGATAAGTTAGCGGTTCATTCTGCTGTGGCGACCCCAGATTAATAAAGAAACTAAGCTGAAAAGAAAATTAATGAATCAATGGATAATAATAATAATAATAATAATAATAATAATAATAATAATAATTATTATTATTATTATTTATGTTATTATTAATTTATATTATGTTATAATTGGTTAAAAAATAATAAAATAAAAAATAAAATAATAATGTTAACATACTTTTTTAAATGTAATCAACTCATGAGAAATTTTCATGCAAAAACCTTTCTTTAAGCAAACACAACATGTCTCCTACAGAAACAACAGAAGCACAAGCCGAGCAAGAAAAAATGCCCATCCCAATTATCATAAATATCCCGCAGGAGAACAAGAAGCAGTAGTGAAACAAAACCATGTCTATATGACCGGTCGCCTCCCTTCATTACATTCACTTTTACAATGTGCGGAAGCTATTTATCTAATTAATACATTTATAAATCACCGGCACAATCCCATTAGGAGAACTTCCCTTTTCTAGGAACCTGTCTCTCCACATTGCACACAGTTTGGAATATAAACAATGAGACAACGGGGATAATAAAACATTAAGCAAGCTCCTATTCCAGTAAATGGGCCACTGGGCATGTGGATACAGCATTAGAGCCAGTGCAGGATCCCAGAAGGGGAGGATAAATCCCAGTGCTCTCTAGCCTACAGGTACTTACTTAATAGGGAGCTGTCTTGTATGAACAATGCCGCCGAGCCGACACGGCGTAGAAGGGAAAAGGTTATGAACCCTTCATTTTAAAGTCCATATTTAATATGCTTCCCCTCATAAGTCTCTGAGTCACAGAACACTAACTAGAAACCTGGGCCTCGCCATTGGGGTCTTAATTTACGATTCATGCCAATTGCAATAGTAAACAAGTGTAGGCCAAAGGTGTACGTGCAATTAACAGAACATACATGGGATTCTCTTTCTTTCTTTCTTTCTTTCTTTCTTTCTTTCTTTCTTTCTTTCTTTCTTTCTTTCTGTCTGTCTGTCTGTCTGTCTGTCTGTCCGTCCGTCCGTCCGTCCGTCCGTCCGTCCGTCCGTCCATCCATCCATCCATCCATCCATCCATCCATCCATCCATATATCTATCTATCTATCTATCTATCTATCTATCTATCTATCTATCTATCTATCTATCTATCTATCTATCTATCTATCTATCTATCTATCTATCTATCTATCTATCTATCCATCCATCCATCCATCCATCCATCCATCCATCCATCCATCCATCCATCCATCCATCCATCTATCTATCTATCTATCTATCTATCTATCTATCTATCTATCTATCTATCTATCTATCTATCTATCTATCTATCTATCTATAACCACCATGAGTGATTGAGTGGAGAAGTTGACCTCCACTATTTAAAAGTATTCTTAAAAAATTCTATAATCTTTTATTCTTTGATCTGTCTTAAAGTGACAGTTTATCCAAAACTAAAAAAAATAAATAAATAAAATCTTGTCATTATTTACACACGATTCATTTCTACAAATCTGTTTGTCTCTGTTTGTGTTTATGGAAGTCAATGGTTGCCAGTTTTTAGCTTTCTTCAAAATATCTTCTTATGTGTTATTTAGTGGTATCACTGTGTGAAAGAGACTAAAGGGGTAAAATACAGTATATGAGGGTTCACATGATATAACAAAAGAAAATTACCTCATCATTTATTTGTTGAACCCAAAAGATGACATTTTTAAAAATGCTGCTTGCTGGGACTAAAATAATTATAAGAAGAAAGTCAATACCAGGTACTTTTTTTTTTAAATCTTCTTTTGTCTTTAACAGAGGAAAGAAACTCAAATAAATTTTGAACAAGCAAGTAAATGACGACAGAATTTTCATTTTGGGGTGAACTATCTCTTTAAATCTATGCCCTTATTTTTAGTTTCATAATGTGGCAGGTACAAATGATACAGTAGATCCTATATTGCTTCCTAAATAACAGCCTCTTTTTAATACGCCACACAATTACAAGTATCATTCATGACCAGAAGCAAACAATCAAGCACCACCAACTAAGCCTTTAATCCTGAAGAAATTCAAGTCCAAAAGTCCTTGCAAAAAAAAAAAAAAAGGAAAAATTGAAATCAACAATTACTTCTTGACAATCACACAAAAAATCCGATGTCAGATCCAGATGCCGCTTAGCTGAGTGTTTTTCTGGCATACGTGTCCTTCATCTAAGTCTAGCGAAATTTAACAGCTTTGATCTGGAGTCAAATTGGATCCCAATCATGATGCCATCTGGTAGAGCGGCACACACAGAGGGTCAGGCGCAAGGTCACCCTCTCATCTTTTTAATCTGGATAAAAATATTAGAGGCATCACGAGCGCGAGGCTTTAATCATTTTGATGCACAGTTAAAGCACAACATCCAGCCTTAAGTTGATTCTCTGCTGGTCAGAGTCCTGCATCATGTCCTTCACTTCAATGAACGTGACGTGTGGCTTTAGCCGTTCAAATATTCATGCCTCTCAGGGCAACTTACCAAAGAAAGAGAGCTTTCCCTGCACGGAGTTTCTTCCTTTGCTGTTTTCTGCCACACACTCGTATGTACCCGCGTCCTCCTGCTGGAAGTAAGGGATTTCCATCACGCCGCTGGTTTTTCTTACATCCACCTTACGAGCGAAAGGGACTCCGTCTACTCGACGCCAGCTTATGGATGGTACAGGACTGAGGTGGAGGAGATATCACAATAGATATTAGACATAATATTAGACACAATAGATATTACAATAGAATGCAATAGTGAAAAATAAATACAGAATATTTCCTGAATCACACTTTTCTCTCACAGTTCTAAGAGAAAAAAGTAACTAGATAAAAATATAAATTTTTTAAAATAGTTTTTAAAGATATATATATATATATATATATATATATATATATATATATATATATATATATATATATATATATATATATATATATATATATATATATATACACACACACAGACTCTAGTGATGTCTGAGACTTATTTTATATCTTGTAAAAAAAGAAAATAATATATATATATATATATATATATATATATATATATATATATATATATATATACACACACTGTATGTATGTATGTATGTATATATATATATATATGTATTTTTTTTTACAAGATGTAAAATAAGTCTCAGACATCCCCATCGGTTGTGTGTTCTCATTTTCACCCAGCACTATTAGAGACTCATCCAACTTAATAACTTAAACACGTAAAAATAAAGCATATCGCAGATTCTCAACAGATACTTACTTTCCTAATGCAAAACACTCCAGGCGCACAGTTGAACCTTTAGCCACTTGCACAATTTCCGGGAACTGTACTTCAATCTTTGGCTCATATTCTCCCATAATACCTACAAAGAGAAACACTCATTTGTCACTCGCAGGAAGAAATATTGCAATTATATTCAACAAAAGCTATCAATTACTCTATCTGCAACAGCAATTTTCAATCTTTCTCTTTCACTATTGCTGCATAATTTATTTTGCACCTTCAGAAAGGTTTCTGGGATTGCGGGAGCCCTGATATCAGTGTTTTTTTATTTTATTTTATGTGAGGTGTGCTATCAGCCTGGAGACTAAGCTGTCTGAGGGACTCAAAGAGATGCTTATCTGCAATGTCTAACGCTGGACGTTTATGTCCAGCGCTGCCAAATAGGAAGGGTTGAAGAGAGGCAATCATCTCCTTCTGTAGCGCCTCAGGTAGAGGGACATGTACAATGGGCTTTGAAATTGTGCCTGGAGATCACACTGCGAAAGTAGCCTTTGAGTGCCTCATGTTGGTCAAATACAAACATCAGGATTTTAGACAACCTGAGCTACAGCACAATACTGACAAGGCATCGGTTGGATGTCAGCCAGTTGGACGTCATGCACACACAGACTTGAATAGATATCTTTGCGAGTACTTACCTTAGATGTAATGATTTATTTTATTCTGTACAGTCTTTGTATTCTATCCTCAACCCTACCTATTCTGACACTAAAAACATACTGCATTTTTACATTTTAAAAACAATTGATTCAGTGTGAATTTTCAGTAGTCATTAGTCTTTACCCAGCAGGCCCACAATGTGTTGTTAATATTAGGTTAAATTTAGGTTGTGACATCGGGTGACCAAAATCTATTGTCGAGCTAACATCTTAAAACAATGTCATATTGACGTTAAATAATGACATTTATTCGTCAGGTATGGCAACCAAAAATCCAACGTCTCATTGACGTCATAGTAGTAATATTTACATAATGTCAAGCTGTAACATCATTAGACGTTGTTATTTGGTTGATTTTCGGTTGTGTTAGAAGGTGACCAAAATCCAATGTCGAGTCAACATCTTAAACCAGCGTCATATTGACGTCAAATACTGACATTTAATCATCAGGTATGGCAACCAAAATCCATTGTCTGATAGACGCCATAGTGGTAATGTTCACACAACGTCAAGCTGTAGCATCATTAGACGTTGATATTTGGTTGATTTTAGGTTGTGTTGAAAAGTGATCAAAATCCAAGGTCGAGCCAACATCTTAAACCAGCATCATATTGACGCTAAATACTGACATTTAATCACCTGTTATGACAACCAAAATCCAACGTCTGATAAACATTGTAGTGGTAACGTTCACACAACGTCAAGCTATAACATCATTAGACGTTGATATTTGATTGATTTTTGGTTGTGTTAGAAAGTGACTAAAATCCAACATTGAGTCAACAGCTTTAACCAGAATAATATTGACGTCAAATACTGACATTTATTCGTCAGGTATGACAACCAAAATCCAACGTCTAATAGACGTCATAGTGATAACCTCCACACAACATCAAGCTGTAACATCATTAGATGTTGATTTTAAGTTATGTTGGAAAGTGACCAAAATCCAACATTGAGCCTAAATTTTAAACCAGCGTCATATTAATGTCAAATACTGACATTTGTTTGTCAGAAATGGCAACCAAAATCCTTTGTCTGATAGACATCGTGGTGGTAACATTCACACAACGTCAAGCTATAACATCATTAGACGTTGATGTTTAGTTGATTTTAGGTTGTGTTGAAAAGTGATCAAAATCCAACATTGAGTCAACATTGAGTCAACGTCATATTAACAACAAACACTGACATTTATTCATCAGTAATGGCAACCAAAATACAATGTCTGATAGATGTCATAGTGGCAATGTCCTGACAACGTCAAGCTTTTTTCATTGGATGTTGATGTTTGGTTGAGTTTAGGTTGTGTTGGAAAATGATCAAAATCCAACGTCAAGCCAACATGTTAAACCAGCGTCATATGTCTTAAACATCTTAAATCAGGTATGGCAACCAAAATCCATTGTCTGATAGAAGCCATAGTGGTAATGTTCACACAACGTCAAGCTGTAGCATCATTAGACGTTGATATTTGGTTGATTTTAGGTTGTGTTGAAAAATGATCAAAATCCAACATTGAGTCAACATCTTAAACCAGCGTCATATTAACAACAAACACTGACATTTATTCATCAGTAATGGCAACCAAAATACAATGTCTGATAGACGTCATAGTGGCAATGTCCTGACAACGTCAAGCTTTTTTTATTGGATGTTGATGTTTGGTTAAGTTTAGGTTGTGTTGGAAAATGATCAAAATCCAACGTCAAGCCAACATCTTAAACCAGCGTCATTTTGACGTCACATATTTACATTTATTCATCAGGTAGGGCAACCAAAATCCAATGTCTGATAGACGTCATAGTGGAAATATCCTGACATCATTAGACACTGATATTTAGATGATTTTCAGTTAAACGTTCGACAAAGTCGTCAGTTTATGATGTCAACCCAATTTAAATTTTTAAAAAATATGCAACGTCCCCACAACAATGGGGTTCATCTTCAATCTGATGTCATGTTGACATCCTGTGCCTGCTGGGCAATGTCACATGATCATTTATAAATCCAAACCACAGAATGAAGTTGTTTTTTAAAGTGAAAATGTTATTAACCCTGAACTTAAACTTTATTACATACATTTCTTAAAATGTTCAGATATTGTTTTATATTGAGACCAATTAAACATACTTTAATTTCAGTAAATTACTGAAAGTACTGTGTATATAGAACATAATGAAACAAATGGGTTATTAGATAATTAAATTGAATTGCTTGCTCTAATGGGTGTTTCAAAATTAATAAAATAATAATTAAAAAAACATTTGTTTTTCTTTAGAAAATGACAACTGGACAAAATAATATCAATAATATTTTCAATTGATAAGATTAAAAATAATGGGGTTTCTGACAAAAGTCTGCAAACATGGCATCTTATTAATTTAATTTGTTATTAATTATCGAGTGTAATGTATTTTTTCATTAAAAAAACCTAGGGAACAAAAGTTTGTTTAAACAACCAGAAAATCAAGCAATAAAGTACCAAATGGTTTGGAAGAAGTTTATTTCATGTTGTCAGAGAAATTAGATTTTGTTTGTATGTTATGATATTTGACAATTTCTTTTTATCGCCCTTGTACATGAGTGTGATCAAATTGTAAACCCACAGAGAAGCAACAATTAGATCAGTCTAAGACAAATGACCTTTCAGACTGGGGGCCTTTGATAATGCCAGCCTAGAGGCACCAAAACATGCTGCCACAGCATCTTAACATGTGCAGAGAAACAGCTTATTAACCTTTGAATAAACTTTGGATTACATATAAATGAAAATGAATAAATAAACAAAAGACTGCTCAAAAATTCTCCATTTGTACTGTATTTATTAGGTAAAATGTTAGTGAAATGCTAATATTTGTTTTATTCCATTAAGTTCTGACAACATTTCTGCCAACTTTCAAATTAAATTATTGTCATTTATGACATTTTGCATTTTCACTTGCTGAGACTGAAAATCTGTGTTATTCCACCAAATGTTGCTTTCTCAAGGTGAAGAAGTGAAGATAAAAAAAATAAATATTCATGCATTTGTCAAATTTAAGATTTTAGGCTCTTTGGATGCCCATTAAGCGTTTATTTTTCACTTTATCACTTTGTGTTAGTTGATTTCAATTACACTACATATTTTTAAAAGCTATTTCCTAAAAATGAGTTTTTCTTTTTTTAAAGTTACATAAATCTGTTGTTTTCAACAATGCTTACATTAACCAAACATCACAGTTTTTTTATATTTATATTCTGAATGTGTTTATAAGGGATATGTTCACCCATAATTTGCCTCATTACATACATTTATTTCTACAAAAAAGTGTGGGATTATTCCTGTCCGTTTCCATTATGTTCTGAATTATAGAGTGATAGAAAAGAAAAACAACAACAACAACAACAACAACAACAACAACAACAACAACAACAACAACAACAACAACAACAACAACAACAACAACAACAACAACAACAACAAAATAAAGTAAAATAAAAATAATAAATAAATAAATAAATAAATAAATAAATAAATAAATAAATAAATAAATAAATAAATAAATATCCACACATCATCCAATGTTGATGTGTGTATTTTGTAATAGAAATGTATGCAAAATAGTGCTTAATTATGACATTTTTGATGAAATTTAGATGAAATTGTATTATGCAATCAATCTACTGGGGAAATATGTTAATATATATTAGTTAATTGTAAAAAGAGATTTTAACACATCTGAAATCACGGCAACTTTGTTTTGGTATTTTGACCAAGTGTCATTTTATGCTCTAAATGACATCATTTTCATTTGAAATTTGTAATAAAAGTTGTCAGTAGTTTTAAGAACAAAACAAAAGTGAAATTTTACATAAAACAAATAACTATAAATCATAAATACAGAAAAACTGTGAATTTCCAAGTGATCTGGTAATTATTTCCACAGCTGTATTTAATCTATCTTAAAAAATCATAATTATTATTTTGATCAATTGTCATTTTGTACTCTACATCTGTATTTCATCCCTCTTTTAGCTTCAGAATTCTATTATGCACATTTGACTGAATTTATGAACACAAATTTCTATAGTTTTGTGAACTCATCTAAAGGTAGGACTATTTATGCTTTGTAAAGGAAGTGCAAAAATGTTGTATGTATTTTTTTTCGTATCTCGTAAGTCTGAAAAATTTGTCACGCACACAAACCTTACATGCTGAGTCTGATGTGTGTTAAAAAAAAAAAAAAAATTATATATATATATATATATATATATATATATATATATATATATATATATATATATATATATATATATATATATATATATATATATGAAAATCAAACCTGATTCAAATTTTATATGATGGACGAAAGTTTGGAAGACATTGTGTCAATTTATTTATGTGTGAAAATTACAGACAAACATTTTGGATTCAGTTTGCAATAACCTTAAATCTTAAGAAATGAAAATTAAAAGTACAAAAATTAAACTGTCTTATCTAAAAATACAATTATATTAAATACAACTGCTGAATAGCAGGAGTGCCAAAATGTATTTTTTATACATACAACAAATTTGATAAAACAACAATATGCTAAAACATTTTGGTGTTATCCGACAATGCTTAGTTCAAAAAGTTTGATCTAACTATTTGCAATTGCTTAATAAATGATTCCATATATGCAGTTATTATAAACGTGCTACCTTAGTAGTGAACAGTGATCATGCTTACCATCTGTGCGCAGTATGAGTGGAGTTGGCGGCCCTTGTACTTGTGTTTTGGTGACGGTATTAGTCACGACACAGGTGTAGTTTCCTACATCCGACGGCTCAACTTTAGCGATATACAGATTCCCTGTCTCCTGAGACACAAAGCGACGAGAGTCCTGCTTCACGATTGATGGGTACTCGTTAAAAATCCAGGAAAACGTCAAAGCTGTAAAAGGAAGAAAAGAGAGAGAAGACCATCAACGTCACACATGAGAAGAAAGAGGTCAATCTACTGCCCCGAAACTACATTTGCATAATAATAACTAAAGTACACGATGTTTCTTTCTCCGCAGATGCACCAGCCGGAATTATGTATTATGATGTCATATACAATGTAATTATAGATATATTGCACAATGTAGACTGTTATTAGATGCTACAGAGATTTATTTTATTACATTTTTTTAAACACAGTAAAGATTTTATTTGAAAAACGTTTGCAGATACAAAAACATCTAAGTTACTCTAAAATTAGCATTTTTCTCAGCCTACTATGTTTATGTTTAATATGTTAATGAATATGTATTTGGTCTTGAAGGAATAAATCTGCTACACTGCTGCTGCTTTGATTATTATGGTAGAGCAAGTACCAACACCTGCTAGTGCAAGTATATACACAGACATGCCATCTAGGAATATCCACTTGTTAAGTGTGAAGTCACACGAAGCGGCTTTTGGGTCCAAGTGCTATATACATATATATATATATATATATACATATATATATATATATATATATATATATATATATATATATATATATATATATATATATATATATATATATATATATAGTTGAAGGTAGAATTATTAGCCCCCCTGAATTATTAGCCCCCTGTTTGTTGTTTAACGGAGAGCAGATTTTTGTCAACACATTTCTAAAAATAATTGTTTTAATAAATCACTTCTAATAACTGATTTATTTTAGGCAGGTTAGAGTAATGAGGCAAGTTATTATTTAACGATGTTTTTTTCTGTAAACAAATTTGCCTAAAGGGGCTAATAATTTTATCCTCAAAATGGTGTTTGAAAGATTAATAACTGCTTTTATTCTAGCCTAAATAAAACAAATAAAACTTTATCCAGAAGAAAAAACATTATCAGACATACTGTGAAAGTTTCCTTGCCCTGTTAAACACATTCTAAGAAATATTTAACAAAGAAAAAACAATTCAATGGGGGGCTAATAGCTCTGACTTCAACTGTGTATATATATATATATATATATATATATATATGTCTAATATTTGATGGCCAGACAGTGAATATTTTTTATAAATTGGTAAAATGTTGTTATTTGTAATGTCGCACATCCAGAGACTGATGTGTACACCATGATTTAATGTGTGATATGAGTAAAAGTGACATGGCCATAAACAAATATTTTCATTTAGTAGCGGCTTGGACCCAGAAAAAACATTTTAAGTGTCACTGATACATCACGATTTAATAAGCGGATAAGCACGCTGCAGCTGCAAACATGTTCAGCCCCTTTATAAAGCTTTTCAATTGCTTTTCATTTAATTCACTTGAATTCTCAATGGCAGAACTGTGATAAAAACAAAACACTATTGGTTGTTTAATAAAAAGGGGAGGGGCTACTACTGCATATGTCCAGCCCTTTCTACATGTTTCAGTTAAGATTAAATTAAACGGCGAATAAAACGAATTTACATTTCAAAGCTCTTCACAGAACACAAATGTGATAACGTTAGAAGTTTTCATTTTCTACCCATTTCAAAAAACAAATCTTTCAACATGCCACTTCACACTACATTAGACAAATAAACAGGCAAATATTGTAAATCAGTCTCAGCTCAGAAGAGTTAGTAGTCCTGCTTTACAAATAAAAAAATCCAGGAAAAAGTCAAAGCAAAGAAGGAAAAAAATGAAGAGAAAAGACTATCAACATCACACATGAGAAGAAAGAGGTCAGTCTACTGCCCGGAAACTACATTTGCATAAACATAACTAGAGTACACGGTGACATTTCTTCTCTCCGCCGAGCCTAAATGGCATATGTGGGCTCCGCTCATGAATCTTGCACCTCCCCAGAGTTTCTAAATTAGCACTGGGGCTACATGCTAGGGTGAAAATTAATCAGCCTGAGGAGGGTTGTGTGGCTTAGAGGGTGAGAATTAATGACACGACGGATAACCAGTGCCCTGTGACTAGTTGGCCTCAAGTCAAGGGGGAAAGTGGTGGTGTGTAACCAATGCTCAAATATCCACGCCGCTAATCGCTTAAATGTTAGTTAGTTAACGGGTAATCGGCCAAGGCAAGTATAATAAGATAATCACATAGAACTTTACATAAGCAGTTTTTTTTGCGGCAAAGGTGTAGTTTGGAGAATTTTATTTACAAACTGCCTGTCAAGAAAAGTCCTTGCCCCCCTCTGAAATAAGAAGCCCATTTGTCACACAACCAGCGATCGCTTTCCAGAGATCGCTGGTTCTCACATGAACACCAGGACTACACTTCCGCATTTCCCAGGACTACATTTTCATACATGCACTGCTCCCAGACACCCATGCTCATTCATCTGCTTGATTGCACTCACCAGCTGAACCCTGTCAGAGACTGATAACATACCATACATAAACCACTCATTCACTCACCCTGGTTGCCGAGTCTTGTTTACCCGAGTGTGACATTACAACGCGTTTCCTTGTCTTGTTTCTCTGTGTTAGACCTTAGCCTTGTATCCTTGTTATTCTGTTTAGATGCCTGCCTTTTGACCTGTTGCCTGTTTATATCGACTACGATTCTGGACTGCCTTAATATACCCGATTATACCTGATTTGACCATTGCTTGCCTTACGCTGAATAAACCTGCATATTGGATCTTACCTCCTGTTGAATCTGTCACTCCACCCCAGTCGTTAAACCATTATAATACCACTGGCATTCATTTTTATGACAATTCCATCATCAAATTGCTAACAATCAACAATAATGTATATTTATTACAAATATGTTGGTCACACTTTACAATAAGGTTCATTAGTTAATGTTAAGTAATGCGTTTACTAACATGAACAAACATTGAACAATACATTTACTACAGTATTTATTCATGTTAATAAACATTAGTTAACGAGAATAAAGTTGTTCGTTGTTAGTTCATGTTAAATCATGGTGCATTAACTAATTTTAACAAGCATGGACTTGGATGTTAATAATGCATTAGTAAATGTTCAATTATGATTAATAAATGCTGTATAAGTGTTGTTCATTATTAGTTCATGTTAGTAAATGCATTAACTAATGAACCTTATTGTAAAGTGTTACTTATATGTTGTATTAGTACACTCTCTGGCCACTTTATTATGTACACCTTTACTGGTGTTATGTATATCGTACTGGATTGGACCCACTTTTGCCTTAATTCTTCATGATTCAACAAGGCACTGGAAATATTCTTCAGATATTTTGGTCCATATTGACATGATAGCATCACATAGTTGTTGCAGGTTTGTCATCTGCACATCCATTGTCGGCTGCACATCCACGAATCTCCCATTCCACCACATCCCTAAGGTGCTCTATTGAATTGAGATCTGGTGACTGTGGAGGCCATCTGAGTACAGTGAACTATTGTCAAGTTCAAGAAACCAGTCTGAGATGATTTGTGCTTTATGACAATGCTTCTATCCTGCTGGAAGCAGCCATCAGAAGATGGGTACACTGTGGGGATGGGCATGGTCAGCAACAATATTCAGGTAGGTTGTGGCGTTGACACAATGCTCAATAGGTACTAGTGACCCAAAGTGTGCCACGAAAATATCTCCCACACTATTACACCACCACCACCAGCCTAAACTGTTAATACAATGCAGGACGAATTCATGATTTCATGTTGTTGTCGCCAAATTCTGACCTTACCATTTGTTTTTCCAATCGTTCTATTTTGGTTAGCCTGTATGAATTATAGCTTCATTTTTCTGTTCTGGCAGACAGGAGTAGCACCCGGTGTGGCTGCTGTAACAAGGCATTTGCACCCACAGATCTGCCACTCACTGGATATTTTCTCTTTTTCAGATCATTCTCTGTAAACCCTAGAGAGTTGTGCGTGAAAATCCCAGTAGTTCAGCAGTTTCTGAAATACTCAGACTAGCCCATCTGGCACCAACAACCATGCCGCATTCAAAGTCAGTTAAATCACCTTTCTTCCCCGTTGTATTGCTCGGTTTAAACAACAGCAGATCGTCTTGACCATGTCTACATGCCTAAATGCACTGAGTTGCTGCCATGTGATTGGCTAATAAGAAATTTGCGTTTACAAGCAGTTGGACTGGTGTACCTAATAAAGTGGCCTCTGAGTGTACAGTATATAATAAATTGTTAAAAGTCAGTTGTCAAGTATATTTAAATCCAACTACTACAAAAACTTTGATAAAGGATAACTTTATATTTTCAATAATTAATAGTTATTCTCATTTTAATGAAATGTGCGTATAAGTCAAGGTAACTTCAAAATGATTAAGTTTAATATATATATTCCCTTTTCAGAAAGGACCATAAAATCCAGCTGCATTTAAATGTCAACCTTGCTATGAAAAATAATGATTTGATCAATAGAGAACCAACTTTTATCATTTTGATTAGGGTTGTGCTGTTTGATAATCTGTTCTTTATAATTAGCCTTGAGTTACTTTCATACATTTTTAACCCTCTCAAAATGTTTCAATTAATTATTAATATTAATTATTTCAAATTATTTTCCTCATTTTAAATATAAAACACGTTTACAGATTTTTTTTCATCTCTTAACACAGATTAGTTGTTATGAAAAATATAAACAGATGTTCCAATATACTGTTAACCTATTCACAAGTTTTGTTCTGCAAATGTCACATTCGCAATGCAAAAACTTATAATTTTCATTATGATTATACATGTTTGTTCTTCTTCCAGAAAATAAGTTGAAGTGGAAGATGTGCTTAATTGTCATAAAAGTAACATTATAAGTTTTAATTTTCTGAGTGAAGTTTCTTTGCATTTCCAGTTACGAAGCTTTCAACGCACTGCTTCACACTACATTAGACAAATAAACAGACAAATAAATCAGTCTCAGCTCAGAAGAGTTAGCAGTTAATCTAGGTCAGCTGTAATTAATTTAGAATAATTAAAAGAACTTTACTTTCAGAAAATATGATTTTCTTC